TCCCTCGCTGGCTCCCGGAGCCGGTGACGGGGGTGCTAGGTGGCCGAGCTGCCTGTCCCCTGTCCCCGCCCCCCCCGACAACCTGTGTGCCCGCGGGGGGGCCTAACCCAGATGTGAGGGGTGACACCTGCGCCTCTCCTGTCAGCCCGCGGGCTCCCAAAACATCATCTCTGCTCCTCTCTTGGTCTCTTGGGCTAACGCAGTGTGCTGAGGTTCTCCTGGCTGCTTTGACCTGCTCAGGAGCAGCGGCGTTACAGGAAGGACCCTGGGTGCCAGGCTGAGAGCAGACCCACAGCTTCGCACCAGTGTTTAGGAAATGCAGATCAACAGCCAAGGGCTGGAACAGCTGCATGCTGCCAAGGAATGGGAAAGGCTATTTGGCATCACGCCTAGTAACCAAACTGGGTTTTCCACAGAGAGGGGCTGCAGCCAGGAAAGGGGGGGGGAGGGGGGACGCTTTCCTCCCTGTTCGGGTTGAATTCAGGCAACAGGCCCAGCAGCTGCAAGAGAGCTTAGCAGCACTGTTCCCTAAAGGTACCCACTTTCCTGAACAACCATCTCACCCCAGGGCCTTGGGAGTAGTATTCCACACCCTCTCCTCCCAACTCTGCTGTGAGGCTGCTGTTGTTCCTGCGGGTGCAGAGGCCTGAGGCGCAGAGGAGTAAAGTTGCATCTCCAAGGTCCAATAGGTAGAAAAAGAAATTTAATTGAGTTTTCTGCATGCCAGGTGCAGGATGAGCATGAAAAAGCACTCAAGTTTCCACTCTCCCAGCCTCAACAGACCGCAAAGCCGAGGTAAGCTTTGTCACTGCAGACACAGGGAGTCCAGGCAGATACATACACACCAGCTACAGAGGAATAGAAGCAAGAGTGAAAAAACTCCTGTGGCAGATCATTCATTACCAATGTTTGTAGGGTGGTAATTTTGCATAGCCATGACCGTTTCCACCCCAAAAGGTGGTTACGTCCCCAAATCCTTCTATCCAGGATGAAGTAGGGCTAGGCCTACTGCCATGAAAAAGACGCTGCGCCTCTAGACTCAGCCAGAAGATAATTCCCTGTCCAGAATTGTGTGGGGTTAAACCACAACACTGTTTTCAAGCTGAAAAAGAATAATCTGTTCCTACTTAGTTTAAAAACAGGAACTTGTTGCTGAAATCAGTTTCTGTGGCTTTAACTGGCCACAGAGACAGCCCCAAGTATAACTGTGTTAGGCTGGAAAGCAGTCTCCATTTTACCAATAAATTCGCAGTAAATAAATCAGGGCAGATGCAGTAGCGAAACACAAAGTGAGGAGATGGGGACCTGCCTTTCTACCTAGCCCTTTCCGTGACTTGTCAGAGACACTTGCCAGAGGGTTGTAAGAGCTAAGAGTGGTGTTGGAAGCTTTCCAGCAGCAGCTGCTGGAGGTAATGGGAGAAGTGGCTAATGAGGGTGTTCAGTGTCCGTCCCTGCATTACAACTACAGTGTTATCCATGTGGTACGTAGAGGGTGAAGCACAATCTTCCTCACTTCTTAACGAACAAGGTGCCCTTGCAGAGGATGTGTTCCTGGCACTTAAAAATGATCCACAGCACCTGGAAACAAATTTCTTCTCATCTGCTCAGCTCTGGAACAGCTACACGCTCACTTTCTACACAATGCTGCCTCTCATGTTCCACACACAGATCCTGTTTTCACTCCTACTTATGCACACTGTGCCTCATGCACAAGACAAGGAGATGAGTAGCTGAACCACCCATATCAACTAATGGTAATTAATTTTTCCCACTAATTGCTCTTTGTTTGCATCACACAGGAGAATGTGTGTAGAGCAAGGGGACCTCGGGATTTACACGAGACATGCAGCTTACTGACATGCAAATGCTAGCTCTTCAACTTTTTGAGTTGTTTTCCAGCAGTAACTAATTTCCTGTGAGCTGCTGATTAGAGAAAATCAGCAAAGCAAAACAGCGATTTGGACCACAAGATCCTGATCCCGAACTCCTTTGCCTTTCTTTGGCCTGTGCTGGCAGACTAAAATAATCAGGACAAGCAGAAGCAAGTCCAAAGAAATGAGAAAGTGCCAGACCCTTTAGGGGATGGAGGGCCAGACACCTATGATGCAAAGCCAACCCATCACACAGAGATATTTCCTTTAATGAAAATATGAATACAGAGACCATTGAAGAAACTGGTTTTGATCAAGGACAATAAATGTCTTTAAAACATGATTACAAGAGAAGAAAACTCAAGGTTTAATGTTAGACTGTACAACACACACTTCATCTCTAGACAGACTTTCCCTTTCTAAAATTAAGAAAATCGTGATCTGTGTCTCCAGTGGGGGAAAAGGCACCATGGCCGAGTCTCACTGGCAAAACTGAGTGGGAAAAAAAGCAAGCACATTTGCCGTTTGCAACAAACTGCAACAGGTAGAATTGACTCTGGATCTCTTTTGATGAAGCTACAAAGGCAATCTGGCAAATAACCCCCACACTGCTCATGGACACACAAAGGTTTAGAAGAATTCAACAGTTCTGCTTTTCTAAACAAAGCAATTACCCCCAAGTTTGTCCCACAATCCCACTGTAAAGTATTCCACATATCATTACCTCCTTCACTGATTAGTGAAGACCAGCTCTTAAGGCTGCAGGCCCCGGGGTCTTTCGCAAGCTACTTCCTCCCCAGCATTTCAAGAACTGAGGACATCAGGGCAGTTCTGCAGGCTGAACACCTCCCTGAGCCACAAGCCTGGGATGGGGGTGTGAGTGCTGCATGCAAAGTAGAAAGCACTGCTGCCACGCACCAGTGCTGATGTTCTTGATATCCAGGGAATAACAAAAATGCAAAGCTCAACTCAGGCTTGTACTGAAGTTGCAACCACTGCAGTTAGAACAGATCACGGGGAAAAAGAAGAAAAGGGGACTTCTCTGGCTGGAAAACTGCACCTGTTTGGCAAAGCTTTCTATGAGTAGCCTACCCAGTGAAGCAGAGTGTTCTTATTTTTCTAAGTACCAGTTCCAAGCCATGCCTAGCTCTGTCTCTGCCAGCCTCAGGGTGCTATTAGATGAACTGAGCATGGGGTGTTAGCTCCAAGAGCTGATGCTGGTATACTTGCAGAAGTGCAGTTTTACCAGGAGAGGTGAGGGCTCAGGCTGCCCAGCAGGAGCTGTGTCTACTGCAGAACACGTGGCCAGCACAGCAGCACCACATGATTTCTCTGTATACCCCGAGGAGGCCTCTGAGCAGATGGACATCCCAAGGACCACAGCTCAGCTGTGGAAACACGCAAGGAAGAAACAGCATGCCCATCATGGTACGGGATGGCAGGCACATGGCACTCTAATCTTGCACATGCTGGTGACGTGATTTTAGAAAAGGTGCTTGTAAGGCTTCCAAAGTTCAGAGTATGAGGCTTGTTTGTAACTACAGTCTGTCCACACCATAGCTGGCATGGCTGTGAACTTATTGGGGTGCTGCAGCTACCTGGGCAGTCTGTAGCCTCACTGGTAGCTGTGGTCCCTAAGCGCATGCAAGCTGAGACAACAGATACAGGTGAGGGAGCACGCCTATCTCCCATTCTCCCTGAGGAGAGGAATTGTGTAACAAACATCTCAATACACCAAAGCACATCGCTCCTTGTGTAGCTAGTCTTCGTGAGACAGTTCAGACGAATTAGACCATGTGTCTGTGACACACCTTAGTGTGGAAATTTCAGGTCAAATGGACAAGGAAATTCTGTATCCCTAATATAGGAAATGCTTTCTTGACTAAAAGGGAAGTGTGCAGTCTTGTTCAAAAGTAATTTTTCTTCCTCCACGCTGTATTTCAGACTGCACAAAGAGAACTTGTTTAAACAAGGGAGTCTACTTTTTCTGGTAAAAGTATTAACTCCTGGCTGCTTCCCACCTGAAAATCACTTCAGGAAGTGGGTTTTTTTTTTTCTTTTGCAATGGCAATAGAGGATACATTGGGTGTCTCCTAAAATATTAATGTCCTGTCAACTCTATCAAACCTTCCGATCTTTGGCTTCCCACAAAGTCCACAGGGTTTCTACTTACCTTAAGCAGTCAGAAGGACAGGAATTTTAACAAGCCATGATACTCCCTACTGTATTACCCAGTCCCAAAAGACATTTAAAATAAATTTAAAAAAAACAACAAAAAAACAGCAAATGCAGCTAGGGTACTCAGAACTCTGGGATCTAAGACAACACACCTGTCTTTGAGAACACATCGTACTATTAGCAGCCTGCTTCCCGATTTGGTACCAGAATCTCTGCTGGCCAAAAAAAAATCACCACTCCTCTCCCAGTCCTACAGGATCACCTAGCCATTTCCTTCCTACCTTTCCTGCCTCCGGTTAGGTGCACAGATCATCTTTCCAGCACACAGTCCCACTGGAAAAGGCAGTGCTGCTCCAGTTAAATTCAGCAGTAAGTAACCCCTGTAAAACTATGGCAAAAATTGGCAATTCTGCCAATTACTCAGGGGTTTGGCGGGCCAAATCGCACAGCTCTGGGAAGCTAAGCAGACTGTCATCTGAGAAAGACAGAGGCCGGACTGCAGGTTTGATGGAGTGACCCCAGCCACAGCATGGAATGGCGGTTAGCAGTCACTTGGCTTAGGCAGGTTAGGATGGAGAAGCTCTGCCTGAGCTCTTGTGGCACACACTCCCAGGATCAGCACTGTGCATGCTACACTGGCATATACCTTGAGCTTTTGCACCCAGGGAGAGGGGAGGACTCCTTTACTGTGCCTTCCCCATATGCTCTGGGGCTCTGTGGCTCCTCCAACCACTGTGAACCCCTCAGCCAGCTTAAACCAAATTTAGCAGCAGTCTCAAGGACATTCAGCACCTACAGGCTTTTCCACGACTTTCAGTGGCACAGTAGACAACTAGCAAGTTCTTCTGAACAGCCCAAATATAAGGAGTGCTTCAATCAAAATGTGTTCATCATAAAACGAGTCCAGAAATAGAACACTGAATATATTAGTTGCAATTTTGAAAGCGTATGAAAGACAAAGGCTATTGTTCCCTGCTATTCTGAGGCTACTAGTCTGGAATGCTACCGATCGCTTTCCAGAAGACATCTGAGAGGCACTTCTTTGTGGATTGTGCAATTTGCAGGTACCCACCTGGCATTTAAGTCTTTGGAAGATCAGCACGGCAGCATACAGAAGGGGCAGATGTGGTAAGGCCAACTTGAAATGGTAAGCATTAAGCCGTAACTTCTGACAGGAGAACCAACCTACCTCCAAACTGGGTGCCTGTCTTTGCTGGAGCAAACAAGATTACAGGCTGTTTGGGAGTGGGCTAAAATAACCATTCCTTGGCCAGAAATCACACAGCTTGACAAGTCACAATGAACCCTCCAGCACATCTCTCACAGCAACAAACCTCTCCTGAGCACTTCAGCAAACATTATCCCTTTCCACAGCAACATCAAGAAACAAAGACACCTACATAAATCACCAACTGGCAAAAAAGATCTACCCATTGTAGACCACCACTCCTAATATGCAAAGTGAACCACAATGGTTCAACACCGATGAGGAAGAGGACAGTTACTTTAAAAACCCACTTGGTAATGTCAATTTCTCAAGGCAGAATAAAAACATGTGGGACCAGAACCCTCCTACGCAGCTGGCAATGCATTGAGGACATGCAGGAAGCCCAGTGGTAGGCTTTGTGGCTCAGTTTTGTGGCTGGAAGTGCTAGTGCTGGGTTTTCTAGGTAGGACATGAAGAGACACAGGTTCACCATCTCTGGCAAGTCCCAGAACATAAAGCGGTAGGAACAAATCCTTATGAGGAAAGCCAAAGGGTAATGACTGGGTAAACACAAGAAAGAATTACCAGACTAGCAATGTCCTCCTCATTTCCCTAATAACACATGTGAAACATCTACTAGAATACCCAGCACGGCTGAAAAGGCACCACAGTTGCAGCCAAATACAGCTACTTGAACTTGGATACACAAGCTGAAGAAAAAATTGAAGAAGTATATTCCAGGGCTGTTTTTAAAACAGCTAAAGTATTGTATAAAAACATTTCTGTGTACAGTAATATCAAAATGAGAAACATTAACATCTGCATCTTGCTTCAGCTAGTATTAAATTTCTTCATAGCTAATGGAAACCACCAGTGGCTGCTCTACATCAGCCCTAAAAGCAATGAGAGCTGTGCAAAACTGCAGATTGCTCCCAGCTCTGTGCGTCTCAAAATATGTTGTGGAGCAGAAAATCTTGTTCTCCTAGAAGGGAACAGAGTTTTAAAAAAAACACGGAGAGAACTATGTCAGTTGCCTGGTTATTTGAGACCTTCCACGTTTCCAAAGAAGAGAGATTCCAGAGCTGTTTGCTATGAGGAACTCTTCTCCTTGTATTTCAGGTAAGCATCCAGTATCTCCTTGACAACACTTGGATCATCAAGTGTGGTGACATCTCCCATGTTGCTAGATTGTTCAGTGACTACTTTCCTCAATAGCCTTCTCATGATCTTCCCTGATCGGGTTTTAGGAAGACGTTTTACCACCTGCAGAGAAGGGAAAGGTGCACCCATGTTAGAACCTGGATCCTGCTGGAAAACGAAGGAAATTTGGCTGAACTCTCTCATGGCCACAGCTCCTTTGAGGCTCCTGGGAAATACTAGACCACTGAGCACATTGGTTTATGTCCAACGAAAGGAGTGTCACTAGCATCAATTCCCTGTGGTATAAATTTTATTCTAAGTGGACTTAGTTCCCCGTTTATTGACTGCTGTGTATCTCCAGGCTGGGTGCTACAGGACACCCAGCTCTTTGGAGAATAAAGTCCTGAATAAGCTGTTAACTATTGAACTGGAAAGCTAGTTACACTTGAAAACTCGGGCACTGATGATGACACAGATCTCAATGCATTACCAGAACAGACATTCATATTCTCCTTCACAGGGCACACAATACTGCATGCCAGCTACAGGGTCTCCTACTCAAGGAATAACTCCAGCCTGCTGATGTTTCTCTCTGCCTGATTATATCTGTCAGCCTACATGCCCTTCTTCATAACCGGAAGAATGTTAAAAGTCTTGGCTATGCTTCCTGCAAAGGACTTAGCAGCAGATTCAAAGGCTTTAGCATAAACTTGAGCCTGGTAAAGAGTTCTCAGGCACTGAACAGAGATGCTAGCAGGTCTCACATTTTGCTACATGATCAGGCCAGTAGGCTACAAAACTCCAAAGTATTAACTAACATACAACGGAAGAGTTGCAGGACTTCTTTGCAGGACCACCCCCAAACACAGGGAAACAGAGGTGTTGCCTTGCAAACCTGCAAGTTCTGGAAGCTGCTCCAATCCACTGAGGATATCTTGGGCTGTTCCAAGTTGAATGAGCCACCCTTGCCTGCTCCTGTTGTATTCTGTAGCCTGTGTCTTGGTGTCCATCTTCCCAGCATGTGGCTAAAGCAGAGCCCCTCAAAGAAGTGGTCTGGTCACTGCCTCCAAGCAGAGCGGAATGGATGCAGACAGGCTGTGCGGGGGCAGCTAAGGGGCAGCTTTGTGCACTCTCCTCAAACACACAAAGGGAGCTGCTGAAAGGTGAGCAGGCTTGAAAGAGACCCTGGAGTTTGTCAGTGCTCCCAGGGTCAAGCTGAAGAGGCTGAGTTACGTGATAGAAACAGCTAGGGCTTTGGGATCTGGAGTTGATGCTAATTATCAACGCAAAATACCTGGGCAGTGGAAAGTGTCACTCTGCCCCTCAGTGACAATGAAGGTTGTGGCGTTTCTCTACAGTTTGGTGGGGTTTTATCTGATCCATTGCATAGGGCCATGGAGAGCAGTGCTACATTGCTTCAGCAAAGGGTTAGCCGAGGGCAAGAGCTATGTAGAGCAGTAATGCTGCTGCATGGTGAACAGGGACATCAAGTCCATCTTGAGGCACAGGGTGGGCCTGGGGTTCCCCTCTGCCAGAGGTCTTGCCAAGGACAGTGCTCTCAACACTCTCTGTGCATCTCATCTAAAGGATTGTTCGGGACTTGGACCAAATGGAGCAGCCTCACAGTAGCTCTAAAACACACTCTGTAACAGCCCCACCAAGAAGCTGCTCTGCGGGCTGGAGCAGCTGTAATATCCCAGCCACCCTCTGGGTCACTGCTGATCCTCAGGCACAGAGAAGGAGCACTGCAGACCACTGCACCTGCCCTCCCCTACCCTCCAGCTTGTTCTCTTTTTCTGCTTCTTCGTCCTGCCAGAGAGGAACAACAGCAGCACTGCAGGCAGGAAGGTGAGGCTTTCTCAATGTGACCATTCCCACTCCTGGTCCCAGTTATGGTCTCCCACTTACCAGAATGTGGTCAGGCACAGCATATTTTGCTATCTTGGAAGCCACTATGGTTTTGAGCTCTTCTTTGACACGGTCTGTATCATTCATCTGCTCCTTTAGCACTATGAAAGCAAAGGCACCTGGAAGACAAATGAGCAAAAGCCACGTATCTCAAATTAGCTACTGGCTGGCAAGGCCAGGGATGCTCATTCAAATGCTAAGGCAGGTTTCAAATCATTCCTATGCGCAATCTAGGGACTGCCAAGAAAACCACAAATCCTGTTTACAAAAGAGAGTCAGACTCCAGCCCTCAAATGATGGCCCAGCCTTGTCTTGGCATCCGTGGACCAGACTGATCTCAGTGACAATGACAACTCAACATAAATTGCCAAAGTCTCACTGGGATCAATAGTTGGCCAATAATAAATCAGCTATTCCCGTTGTGCTCAAAGGGCATCTCTGAGCACCATCCTTTTTAAGGAAGCTCTACCACATACATAAACACTACGTGTGAAAACTGTTTAGGGGAGTAATACCTGCACCCAGCTTAGGAACATGCAGCTATTTTCATGGCTGTCTTTGCCTCTAGGGGCTGCAACACCAGTCAACCTAAGGATAACTGCCCTCCCATTCCCTAGGCACCTCCTAACACAGAGCCCAGGTTAGAAATTAAGGAAAGTGTATGTAGGTGTCATGTCAGGACACTGCTTTTCACATACCTTCTCCTTTGATCTTGTGTGGATACCCAATCACAGCTGTCTCGGGGACGTCAGGATGATCAGCCTTCACAAAAAGTGAAATAAAAATACACTGAGCATAACAACTGCTTCAAGCCCTGCAGTTTGCACCAGCTGCTCTAGGAACAAAACACCTTGCCATATCTCACCCTCCCCTTGGCAGATGGGGCTGAAAGCACAACAGGAAAGCTGGATGCCACCTTCCTACTGCATGGTCAGCTGGTGGCCATGGCCATGGCCACGGCCACGTCTCTGGATTGGCCCTGCTTCTAAACACACAAATAAGTACTCTCATATACACTGCTAAGCCCACTGCACACCAAGCTGAATTTGCACCAGCTCGAAACCTGCTTTCTCTTTCTTTGTCTGTGCTCTTGTGTGTGCCTGGCTACAGTCCCAAGTGGTGACTGGCCACGGCCAAATCACAAGCAAAACCAGTCCTGCATTGCTCTGTTGCCAGCAGAGCAAAAGTGAAGCTGCCAACATCACAGTGCACATTTGACTGGCGTTTAAAGGTCCCCAAAGCACACCAGAAAGCAGAAAGAATCAGGCCTCTTCGTCTTTCCAGAAAGGGGGAAGGGTTGTTTTGCCAAATCCGTATTTTTGTTATTATGCTACACAACAGTGATTTATTCTGTCACACTTCAGAGTTTAATTTGTGTACAGACAGGAAGAAATCACATATCTGAATCCCACACCAAAAAATGGATTATGCTATCTTAAATTAGATTAAAATATGAAAGAAAACATCACCGAGCAGTCTAAGCATATAAATATATTTGCATATACACATGCGTACACATACATAGTGTGGGAGAAGAACTGGATTCTGTATCTATGATCAGAAACCTACACAGACAAAAAAATTACTCACAGAGGAGACACTAGGATCCTGCATGCCATGCAAACACAGCTCAGGTTTATTACATGTTACATTTAAGTGCCATTTGCAGGCCAGGCACATAATATAGAAATAAATATTCAGGTCAAGCTTTGAAGATAAATGCTCTGAGGACTTCTTGTTTTCAATTCCCTGAGCTAATATTATTTTCTCTCAAAATGACAGGCTAGCTTTGCAGCTGACATGAATCAAGTTTGCTTCATATTTAGCACTGCTGAATTCTCAGGCATACTCAACTAGTTTAGTTGAGCAAGAACCACAGATTTGGGAAGGAGAGGTTAGGTGTTAGCAGAGGGGAAGGAACAAACAGGAGAGACAATCCCTTATGGGGATTCTACCGGTATCCAAAATTATGGCTGCAACGGTACAACCTCACTGAGAGGAAACAGAGCTCTGAGAGTTCGACTGCAGGGACTGCCCATGGTGTGACTGCTCTCTCACTTGCCTATTCATCATCTCCTTAATAAGGGTGCTGTGTCCTTTTGCACATTTGCTATTCACTATGCATCAAGCTGCTGTGTGCATGCAGGGGCAGGGATTTGAAGGCAACAGACCCTGCGCTTCTTTAAATTCATAAAGCTTCTTTCAAGGGGACACCCTGCCCCACAGATATGCCCTGTCAAGGGACCTCTACCTGCTCAGAACTTACCATTGCATCTTCTATTTCTGCCGTCCCGAGCCTGTGTCCGCTGATGTTAATGACATCATCCATGCGCCCTGTTATCTGGTAATAGCCTTTCTTGGTCCTGTAAGCACCATCCCCTGTGAAGTAGTAACCTACAACAAAGACTCATGGGTGGTCAGCAGCAGAAAGTGTGCCAGCCTATGGCTTTGGGCTCTGATGCAGAACAGGCTATGCTCTAGGATGGCGAGTAGGGTAGGGTGGATCAGGCAGCTCGCAGGGACTCCTAAGGTTATAACTGCATGACCTGCCACACACCATTTCCCACGTCCCTCTGCCATCCCCAACCTTCATCTGCTCTGCCTGGGCTGTGCTGGCTCCTAGGAAGCACCTGAGCAGCACCAAGACAGTGGAGGTCAGATCTCTGCCAAGACAGGCAAAATTACTGTCAGTAATCAGCAGCAAACAGTGGCTGATGTTCCCTGTAGTAAAATGAAGTCCAGCAACACAATACAATGATGCTTTGTTGGCTTTACAAAACCAGGGGGGCTCTGATCTCTCTAGGGTTTACACGCCTACAGCTGCACAGCAACTGTGTGCTCAGGCCTGGTGCATACAGCTCTAAGATAAAACCACTTCAGATGCCATCTGCCATCATGCCGTAGGCTACTGGTCAAACTCAGGTCTGCTGCTAGCTACACCTCAGCATTCATGGAAAACTAAAACTGTTCAGCTGAAAGGGAGCAGTTCTATTACATTTTGTACATGGGAACACTGCCAATTTTTTTTTAACCACTTACACTGGGACTGATGAAAAGCCATTTTCCCTCCTGGCTAACAAAGGTTCAGATCCCAGATATCAGTCTCTCTCCAGCATATGAGCATTGCAGAAACACTGCTACCAGATTAGCTAGACAAAAAAAAAGCCACAATAAGCATGGTGTTTGGGGAGTCTAAAACTTTTGATGGAAAATGAAAAAGACCCATTGGTTCCAGGAAACTCCAGTGTCACTGAGGACACATCTGGTGATACAGATTGTGTTGCCTCTTCATCAAAGCCATGTCCGCATCTGAATTGTTCCTGTGGCACCTCTGAGCAGCAGCAGGCAGCTACTGCTGTGAAATCTGAAGGTGGATCTTGCCAGGACTCATCACTGGCCAATTCATGGACTTTCAGTCATGCCTTCTGCCCTTCCAAATCAATTAAACAACTATCAACTAAATACCAACAAGATTTCAGATGCAAACATGTAGTGAGTAATAAGGGACTATGGGCTCATTCAGGTTTTTTCTACCGGTTTCCCATTCTTATTTTCCAAACCTTTTTGTACAACTTAGACGACTGTCTCTCAAATTTTTGTCTACCTTGTAGTTTTCAAATACCTTTCGGTTGCTCCTCTGAGTGTCCAATCTCCTACAAAAAATGTTTCCCTGCCACTTCTAATTACTTGCCAGATACAACTTGACCATGTTTTAAAAAAGAAAGGATATAACAGAGCCTGTGACAGCAGTGGTGAGATTTGGTGATGCAGGAGGTACTTTCCCATCCAATATGGCGCCAAAGAAAAAGCTTTAAAATTTGGGCATCAAAAATTTCTAAAAAATACATTCTCTTCTGACAGCTAGAAAGATCAACACTATCTAAGGCCATTAAGATGTGCTTGCAACACATGACACACAACCCCAAAGAACCAAGATCTGGCTGGTACAGAAATATCAGAAAGTGATGCTGAAAATATTCAGCGTGCTTATACTATGGTGCAAACTGCCTTTGCTTGGCACTTTCCTTACCTGGGTAGGCTTTGAAATAGGCGTCAGCAAATCGCTGGTCATCTCCATAGATTGTTCTTGCCATGCCAGGCCATGGCTGGGCAATGCAGAGTGCACCAGACACATCATTGCCCTCTATAACTTTTCCCTGCAGGTTCAAGCACAGGAAGGATGATCAGGTGAACAAAATAGGAACAGTAAGTGCTTCTGTGTCATTGATCTGGCAAGAGTCACCCTGTTCACTGCAGACTGCCAGTGGAGGGCCACAGGTGGAGAAAATAAATCCGCTCATGGAGCTACTACACACTGTCTGTAACATGCCTTCCTCGCCCCTTGAGGCCAGCAGCACAGTAGATAAGACAGTTGCAGAGCCTCATGCCATTCATTTTCCTTGGCTGCTCCAGTCTTGCCACGTCACTGGATGTTGTATGCACTGCTCCAACTGTTCAGCTCCCTGGTTCCCAGGAGCTGTGTGACTTCTGACTGCTCTTGTGAATGGAGGCAGCAGCTCTTAGTCAGAAGCAGTATAAGACCATAAAAGTGGTGCTGAAAATGCAAATGCTCCTCTAGAGATTTGCAGTTTGCAATGCCCAGCTGGCAATATGTATGGACATTTGAGATACGTTCAATATATAAATTGCTCATCTATTCTACCATTTTAATGGAGGAACAAACATCCTTCTGGATCATGTTCCTCTGCCATCAGAAAGGTGATTAAGGCAGAGACACCAGCCTCAACTCACATTCTCATCCATCAGCACAGGCACAATCCCAAAGAAAGGTCTCATAGCCATAGCCGGAACAATCTCAGCTTTCTCCTCTGAAGGCCGTGGGGCAATGCAGATGCCACCAGTTTCTGGAAGAATAAAGAAAAACAAAGTATTTGGGGCCCATCCAATGCTGGCTGAACGCAAATGCCAGTTATTCTTAGTTAAAGAAGAGAATAGTGAAGCCACCTTGCAATAAAAAGCTACTGGGAAGGAACTATGCAACACCAAGTAGCACAGAAAGCAGCACAGACCTGATAAACTAAGAGCTCTCTGTGAATACAAGAAAGGCTTGAACATACAAAAACGTTTGGCAAGCCAGGATGACACCACGAAGGCCTGTTCTATCTACAGGGGATTGCTGCCCCCTGTGTACCCCAGTGACAAACCACAGAGTGTGGCCAAGCAGCCGCCTCAGGGGAGGAGCAGCTCCCCATGCCCCAGAGCGTCAGGATGGCTGACATCTATCTGGCTTAGCTCTTCAAAGGCTCAGAGGAAAGCAGTGCATGGCTGCAGCAGCTGGCTTTGCACCAGATGGCCTGCGGACCCTGCAGCAGCAGCCACGACATGTGCGTTCAGGAGCCTTCCCAAAGCCCTGTCCATGGCAAATCAATCAGGCACAGTGAAGACCCCAGTGATTCAGCCCACATGCTCTGTTCCGTACAGCTGGCCCTAAGCTGGCTCACAGCTAAACCCACTCCTCCAGCTACCAACCAGCCACCAACACAGGCAGCTCTACCGCACACGTACACCCTTGCAGGTCCTTCTCACACTAACAAACAGGGCTGCCTGGTGGCAGGGGCAGTACTCACCAGCCCCATTTCCTACCCTAGAAGTGATTTTACAGAGAAAGTATAAGCACGTCAGGGGATTTATCTCCTGGTGCTGTTTTTACAGCTGTCTAAGGTTAGCATGAAAAGCACTTCAGGAGTCTGAATGACTATTATTACAGAGTATGAGATTAATCCACCCCTTACGGGCAGGTTGAGCTTATCTTCTATTCAAAATGGAACCTTTTAATCATCCTTTTT